GTTCGACCTGCCCCAGGAGCTGCTGATACAGTTCTACAGAGGAATCATCGAGTCTGTTCTCTGCACCTCCATCACTGCAGGCACAGGGACAGTTTCTTACCCCAGGCTGTCACTCTGATGAACACTTAACTCACAATGGTATGATTGGACAATAACCCTCAGTGCAATACCTGTATATATACATTGTAAAAATTATACAGAGTCATAAAGGTCTCTGTACTTTGTTTTATCCTATTTATCTCATTTCAATGAACATTCCTTTGTTATCTCCATTGTTTACTGTCTGTTTATACTGCTTTTTCTGCATTGTTTGCACTGTTTGTTGCTTGTTAATATTGCTGTTTTGTTATATTACACAGCCTTATGCTGGTTTACTGTTTGCACATTGAGAGCCAATGTATCTGAGGGACTTCCAGATACAAACTGAGAAACTGGCCAACCAACCGGACATAGTAGTGGTGGACAAACAGAAGAAGAAGGCCGTAGTGATAGATGTAGCAATCCCAAGCGATAGCAACATCAGGAAGAAGGAACACGAGAAGCTTGAGAAATACCAAGGGCTGAAAGAAGAGCTAGAAAAGATGTGGAAGGTGAAGGCACAAGTGGTCCCCGTGGTAATAGGAACATTGGGGGCTGTGACCCCCAAACTGGGAGAGTGGCTCGGGGGGGGGGATTATATATAATATATAGAGCACTCTGGGCAGTTATGTTATAGTATGTGATTACTTTTAACACTAGTGAGTAGTGTGATGATTTATGTTTTTAAATGTTTTAATCCCACTGATGTTCCTTTACTTTGACACTTCAGAGGGGTCGACTTGTTAGGAAAATAATCTAAAAGTTCAGTTCAGAGGACCTGAGCTTGAAGGAAGGAATACAAGACCGCTCCAAAGTGTGGGGCGAGCGGGGAATTTATGTGTGACTTGATTTTTAGCCTTTATTGTATGTAAACTTTCACGTAACATTTTGAACCAAAGTGAAAAGGGCTGAGACTTGGTTTAGAATACTACAAGCTGCTTGTACTATCTTTACTGAGTTTTGTTGTTATGCAGTATGTATTGTTAGGTGGAGGGACCTGTGCCAGACGAGACACCCAGATACTCAGCCGGAGGGAACATATTTGGCCTAGCTAAAGGTTTTCTGTTATTTGCATCCTAATCCAGTCAAAATGTAGTTTCTAAGAGCATGTATCTTGTTGCTAAGGAACAGTTTTCCAGTGCCCCCAGTAGGGGGTCTTACTATGAATATTATTACATATCCCCATTCAGGGGAGACAAGGCAGATTTTTCCCTCACAGACCATATTTGTCACTATTTTCATACTTAAATGTGGGAAGGATATTTTTTCTCACTTCAGTAACTCAGATCCTTACACTTGCTCATTTTTCCTGCTTCCAACATGTCAACTTTGACGACTGAATGTTCACTTGCTGCCTAATATACCCCACGCACGACAGGTGCCACTATAACAGATAGTCTGTGTTATTCACCTAATCTGCCAGTGGTCATAATGTTATGGCTGATTGGTGTACATCCACAACTATTTTTGTATAGGTGTAGTTCAAATGAATATCTCATCATTTTAAATGGAGCCACAGCATTTAATTTGAATGTTCTGTCAAAATGAGAAAAGGTTTAGCTGACCTGCCTTCCCACAGAGCCTAAAGTAAAACCGTTTGAAAGTCTTTTATACTTTTATACTTTCTATTAGTTCTTAGTTCTTTCAAAACTGCTCCGTTATCCTAAAAAAAGGGGCTTTCCTGAGATTACAAGTCAAATTTCAGATTTACTTAAAAATATGAGTCAAATTGCTTGGCTATTACACTTATATCTATGGTTTTGCATATTTTCTTTTTGTGATTTATTTATATAGGTTCTGTTGACTGAAAAATTGACTCACCAGCTATGTTACTGACAGTCTTAACCACACATCTTCTTTGGACATGTGGTGATGCCTTAGTTAATACAGGGTTAGTATGAAATGACCTCTTCAGTTTGTTAGTTAATCAATAACCATATACCAGACTGTAAAACTAACCGAGACAGGTCCCACATTTTTACTTGTAGGTTAATGACATATATTGTGAGTTCATACTTATTTGTATTCACTAATAAGATCCTATGGTGTGAGATACAAGCTCAGAAATGAATAAATGAATCACAGATCTATAGAAATCATTTCTAGCTTTAAACTTCTTGCACGAGTTTAGACTAAACCACCTGTATAGGCCTGAATGTACTTTGGTTTTGTGTTAGAAAATTTAATCCACCTTTGAAATCAACACATTGCTAAACTATAGGTGTAGTTCATTTCTTGTGTGACAAAAAGGTGATCATATATAGGCCCAACTCCCAAATGTTTTATAGTGGCCCCGAATCAGATGGACTAATATTATACATCTGACAAAAAGTGCATGTAGAATTATTGAAACAGTTTATATCTGGGTAAAAATAGTTCACTAGGTAAAGTTATGGTTTTAAAATAACAAACAAGTTGTTCTAAACATTGTTTACAATTTGAACACAAGCATTGCTTGTGACTTTCCTTTATTTCTCTAAATTCTTTGACTAACTTTTATTTCGGAGTGAAATCAACCAACTTCTGATCGACAGCACGATATTTCTGTGTGAAATCAAGATATTTCTCATTTGACATAAAGAAGTGCTTAACTATCGCAGCGATGTCAGTGTAACTACTTTTGTATAGTTTTAAATTAAAGATTTAAGTGAAGTAAAACAGGATTTTCGCGATGAGCTGAAACTGCTTGTGTTTTGTATGAAGCTGAAACAGTTTAATTCACATTTCTTAAGAGGCTCCAGTCACAAGTATTGGAAAGTAACTAAGTACATCTACTCAAATATAATTTTGAAGTAGCCTATTTTACTTTACTTTACTACTTCAACTTCACTACATTTATACTTTTCACTCCACCACACTGATCTGATAACACTAGTTAGGCTATATAATTATTTTCAGAACCAAATTAACTGTATACAGTATAATCATAAGATTGATCCCTAGTGGGAAATTCACAAGCTACCCATCAAATTATAAAGTATAAATGGTAGTTAAAATGGGCTTCACCTTTACCAACTGCAACATTAAATGCTGTAATGCATGAAGAATAATAATCCAGTAGGATGATATACATTAATGTGAAATATGCCAGTATACATGATGAATACTTTTACTTTTAGTACCTCATTCTTCAAGACTCAGGACTCGAAGTGTTTATTGTCATGTGCATAGTAAGGAAACATGTTTCCCTGTACAATGAAATTCTTACTTTGCTTTACTAGTGTTTTGTACTTTGACTTAGGTAACATTTTAAATGCAGGGTTTTTATTTGTAACAGTATTTTTACATGTGGTATTGCTACTTTAACTGAAGTAGACAATCTGAGTACATCTTCCACCACTGCTAGTCCTCTTAGGTTTAAAACCTCTTGTGTTAGGGTCGGCACTGACCCGTTTGTAGGTTTTAAATGCATAAAAGTACCACATAAATTTATTTACTGCATCAAGGCTTCTTGACTTTGTCAGGAACCTCTATTTGAACAAAATAAAACAAACAAACAAAAATCAATGTCACTAAATTATAAAATTCTCTGGTGAAAATGATGACCTTTGTGTTAGGGTGGCTTTCACATGTAAGGCCTGCATAAGACCAATTCAGTTTAGAGTTGGTGACTTGCAGAGTATACATCTCCAGTTTTCAGCATGGGCAACAATGTCACTTCAGACCTTTTGAATGTTAAAGAGTTCTCAGATTTGACAACAACGATATTAGAGCAAAATCTGACAAGCTTGCTCCCATCAGTGATATCTGGGAGAGATGGGTGCAGCTCCTTCAACTGATGTTCAACCCTGGGCCAAAGGTGACAGTAGATGAACGTTTTGTCCCTTTCTGTGGAAAATGCCCCTTCCAGCAATACATGCCCAGTAAGCCAGGCAAATACGTCATAAAATCTGGGCAGCCTGTGATGCAAAAACCAGCTATGCATAGAATCTACAGATTTACACAGGCATCCCTGAGAAAAACAAATGAAAACGTGTAGTCCTCGATATGACTACTGGACTGTGGGGTCACAATATCACGTGTGACAATTTTTTTTACCAGCTCTTACCTTGGGCATGAACTTCTCAGGAGGAAACTTACCAAGGTGGGCACAATAAAAAAACATAAAACTGAAAATTTGTAGGTGAAGGACAAGGCTCCACTTTCTTCTAAATGTGCTTTTACAGACACCACCACTACATTTTGTATTATTACTTGTTCTGCTTTTCATTTTGTATTTGTTTTAAAGTTCTATTTTTGAAATATAGTTTCTTGAAGTAAATATATATATGGGTCAAAATTGACCCATAACACCATAGATGTTACTATAGTTAATAATATTAAAATTAAAATTAAAATATTTAAGAGATGTGTTCTAATACCCCTCAGTAATAGTCAGGTGGCATAACAACTTTTTATTTATTTATACAATTCTCTTTAGGTCCATTTTACCATTTTTTTGATTGAAAACGAGAGGTATGCTGTCAAAAGAAAGGTCCAAGGGGGGCCCCACCATAAATATTTAAACCAATCTTTTCATGCAGAAGGAAACCTAAAATGGTAACCAAGAGGTAAGAAACAAACTGGATAATAAATAATTGTTTTGAAAGTATTTTATGGCTGATTTAAGACAGGTCAAAACTGACCCGTTGACATAAGAGATAGTAACAGAAAGCTAACATAAGAGGAAGGTTAAGGTGCCCTTTACATACTTTCATTCTCACCACAGTTTCTGTATACTTTATGTGTAACAAAACATACACACCACAATACATAATATCACTATTGTATGAAGAGTGCACTAACTTGTATACCTGTTTGCAGTACACTGAAAAACAAAGCTCCCGCTGATGGACCACAGTGATACAGGCTCACTGGTCCTAGCCGGGAAGATTTCCCCAAAGAGGCAGACTAGAAAACTGACTGAAAGTCTGAAGTCATACGGGGTATTTGAGGATGACTCGGAGCTGCAGCACAGGTGTGACACCTCCTGGAAGGTAGAAGTGAAAAAACACAGCCATTTTTTATTTTTACTTTCTGTGACCCAGTTCCTTGGATGTTATGCCACTACTGAGATCTCCTTCCCAGGTTGTTTTTACAGTAAAAATAGTAATCATACTTAAAAACAATGACTTCTTCAGTGAATGGAGTTAATGCAAGTGGTAAACCAGGAGTGACATGTGCCATAGCATGGTGTTCATCAAAGGAATGAGCATATTTGAAAAGTCTCTTTACCAGTATGTATTAATCCACAGCTCTTTGTTGATAAGGAATAATAATTCATGTAGTAAGATCCCTGCCTATGTACAAACACTAAAAGTTGTCATTGTTCAAGGCACTATGTTCTGCTGTGGGCAACTTCTCCTACAGAGGAGCAGCATCTTCAGTGGTGAGTACACAGGACAAAGTAAAATAGAAGCCAAGTTTAAGTAAAACTGGAATCACAAATGAATACTTCCAGTTACTGTAGTGTTTCCTCTGGCAACGATGTTTTCTTCATTCCATCAGAGCTGGCTTTGTGGAGTCTAAAATCAAACACCCGGTGAGAGACCTGGAGAGAAATGTGCACATTTCCCTGGCCCGTGCTAACAGGAGGCCGTCCTCCGGACCTGGGCAGGCCGATAACAAGTAAGGACGTGATTTTGTTGTTATATTTTAACTGATTCCTGTGTTTAGTTCTTATGCTATTACAGTATTTGCTTGCAGTAATAAATAAATAAATCAAATTAAAAACTGTTTATTTGTTGTGGTCATTAGATGTCTTACACTTTGTCAACTCACTGGCTTAAATTTCTGTTTCAGAGAGGAAATAAGCTCAGAATGGCCGATTGGACTTTTGCTGAGTACAAATTGGTCTAAAGACTGGAAAACAGACCTCACCCTGTGACAGTGCAGATAACATCCTTGGAGGAAAGCAGAATGTTAGGCTACATGTCCTTAGAAGATAGTTTTGTTTTTTTATTCTTTGTATTCAGCTTTGTAAACTTTTAAACCTCATCATTAGGTTTATTTTTTTGTTCACCAAACATATGTAACCCACCTATAAAAGGTAAAGGCCCTGGGTTCAATTAACTGACAGTAACTATAACTGATGAATCTTAAATCTCTAATAAACCTCTCTACATTATATGTCCCTAGGTCCTAGAGTACTGTATGCAATAACCAAACACATATAGCGTTTCTTCATTTACTCAACAGAAAAACTACAGGGTAAACTACAAACAATAACAATCCCCTTTTTAAATATATCTTTGACTCTTTTTCTCTGTTAGACACGTTTCAATATTTCAAAATAAGCACACAAATATGGCGGGGCCCCCCAACACCCTCCCTCCCCCACCACACTGAGATTTAACCCCCGTTGCCTGATGGGCGCTCGGGTGCGCTGAGGCCAAAGACTAAGCAGCCGTTTCACTCATAAGAGACTAACAAAAATGGTACCTTATTTAGTAGTTCGTAGTCCACAGACTGAAGCGTTACCTCCTCTGTGTGTCCAAAGAAATGGCAAAAGGGTCCCAGTAGCCCTCTGATGGCGGAGTAATAACAAGTCCTAAGGTCCAGGTGCAAGCAGTAGCAGGAAGGTCCGGGGTAGCGGGCTCTGTTGTACCATCCAACTGGTCACTCACGTAGCACTGTCTCTGATAATGTCCATGAATCCCAGGTCGGAAAAGATTAATACAGTCTTGGAAGTGTTAGATATTAATAAATCAGTCAGATAATTATTAGACATTAATGTGTTGAATCAAATGTATTAGTAATGCAGTTTAGTAAGATTCAGAGTCTGCTCTAGTCTTTGCTTCAAGGTTAGAAGACAGTGTTGATTCTGAAATGTGAGCTACAGTTACTATGACACCAATTGTTTTCTTGTGTTAAATCTTGTGTTAGAATATTATGTCTGACTGAATGTTGTAGTTACGCACCACGTGACAACACACACACATTGAAATTCTTCATTTTGTTATGACTAGTGCTCGAAGCATGTGGAGCATAAGATAAGAGATGGAGACATCGGACTGACTCCATCTCGTGATGTTTTGTAATCTTTTTGTGTAAGGGGTTAGCCCAAAACTTATACATGTATTAGGCTCTGTGCTTCCGGGGCTCTTTTTTTCCAGCAGCCTGCCTGTGGATGTCTGGGAAAAGGAGCCACCCGCGTTGTGCTTTGTAACAATCAAGAAAGACGGACTCCTTCCTTATTCAGATCTGTCCAATAAAAGAACTGGGGATTACAGAAGTAAGCCGAGTTAGCTATACTACCAATACCAACATTCATTTAGCTAACGAATGGTAACACGTTAGCTAGATATGCTACGAGACTAGACAAGATGACATTACACAACTGCAAGACAACTTTGTGCAAAAGAATATCCAGCCATGTACTCCAAACGGACAAATATCTTACAGCACATCCTCGAGTTGACATCCTAAGATACAGTCCACATACTCAGCATATTTCATGTCTGCATTTTTTCTTCTTCACCAATTTACACACCAACGTGTTTTCTTCTTCTCTCCTTTCCCTGGGTGTCACTACCTTTACCAATGGATGACCAATAATGATATTTTGCACACAACACTTCCTTTAACCTTCGAAATAACATGAAATAAATCGCCGTAAAGCTTTTAACCATATTCATCTTATGACATCAATTTATTTATAGTAACTATTGCTCAAAAGCAAATGCACTTTTTAAGGATGTTTAACTATAATACATAGTATTTTTACCCAGGTTACACATAACATTTTTGACATTCACTAATCCCAAAATGCACAGTCATGAACAGGACATGAAATGGGGATCAGACTTTTTTAATGCACTGGAACTATCAAACATTTGTCATCAGCTGAAAATGTGAAATGACTTCTGATAGCTGGAGGGAGAATAGGAGTCACATAGCACAACTGTTCAATTTATGACCTGTGAAAAGTACAAAGTATCCATTGTACAGTAACTTGTAAATCTGTCATGTCTTTTTAAGAGCTTAGAAAGTATTTATGTCTGACTTGATCTTTAGCCTTAATTATACATAAACCTTCACGTAACATTTTGAACCAAAGTGAAAAGGGCTGAGACTTGGTTTGGGGATATTTATTAATATTATTACATATCCCCAGCAGGCCGGCATTGGAGGTGGGACCTCTCAGGAAGACACGCAGGAGCTGGAGCGGTGCTGTCACTCACAACTCATCAGGCAAGGCTCTGGAGTGATGGTGTCGCTGTCGACCCACTGGGACAGAGGAGCAACCCCCCTGGAGTACAAGAACAGGACTACCCTTGTGCCCTCCTTGGCTATTTTTGTACATTTTTCTCTTTTTTTGATTTGGCAATCATTTTGGTTGTGGCATGAAATTTGGGAGGCAAGTTTCTTTTTAGGAATATTTTTGAAATCCGGTATCTTTTACTCCTACATGTCATTTATACTCTTTTTATGTATTTTGTACCCTCTGGACTCCTTCATGGCCAAAAATGCCCCATTGGCTTCCATTAAAACCACATTTTTTAATCTCACTGCCATTACAGTGTAAATCCATGCATTCTGTAATGGCAGCATTTCATTTTGAAGAAAAAGGAGTGATATTTGACATTTTTAAAATATTTCATCAGATTCAGCCTTTTTCCCATGAAATTCTGGCATTTTTGCCAATCATATAATAGAGCCATGTGACTACTGTGTGTGAGAGAGAGTAATTTACACACACTCTCTCTCTTGATATGACAGACATCCACACACACACACACAACACACATGTTGAAATCCATATAAGGCCGCTTCCAATGTAGACTGATAGAGCTGGATGTATTTCACATCTTTTCACCACAAGGGGTGGTGAAGCCTTTCTGCTGGTCTCTTCCTGAGTCTTAGATTAGCAAAGAAATGGGTACACATTATGGACAAACTGACTAGTAACTTGGTGACACCAAACTCTGATGCAGATTATAGTTAAGGGAGCATCTTTACCCACAGTAATCTCTGTACAAATAGCTGCATCTTCCATGAAAGAAAATAATGACTTTGAATGGTGGCAATTTTCATCTTAACGTGTTTTGGAGATGAGATAATATCAGTGAGGTGTAGATGAATATATCTGATGCATTTGTGAGTATGATCTATCATGCTTTATATATGCTGTAGCAGCTATATATCTCTATCTATATACAGTGGGGCAAGTAAGTATTTGATACACTGCTGATTTTTCAACTTTTCCCACTTACAAAGAACGGACGACAGATCTGTAATTTTCATCATAGGTACACCTCAACTGTGAGAGACAGAATCTACCAAAAAATTCCAGAAAATCACATTGTTAGATTTTTAAATAATTTATTTCCATTTTATTGCATGAAATAAGTATTTGATACAATAGAAAAATAGAACTTAAATTTTGGTACAGAAACCTTTGTTTACAATTAAAGAGGTCAAACGTTTCCTGTAGTTGTTGACCAGGTTTGCACACACTGCAGCAGGGATTTTGGCCCACTCCTCCATACAGGTCTTCTCCAGATCTTTCAGGTTTTGGGGCTGTCGCTGGGCAACACGGGAGTGTACGGGAAGCGAGCAGTTGCTGCTCTTGTGTGCCTTAGTTAAAAAGTAATGCGTTATGCTATAGAGGAACACAGAAGATAAACGGAACAGGAGCAAGAGAGGAGCCGGCTGAGAGGGGAGACATGAGGGGACTGACTTGACTCTGACTGATGTGACTGTGTGACCAAATGATTGACTGACTCTCTAACAATCCTCTTATTTAATATTTTCATTTATATCTCTGCAGAGATGGTGATTATCTCCCCTACCTTTCTAATTATTGAACTGCTTTGAATTATTACTGTAATAATAAATGATCATTGGAATTGAAATGATTTGTCTGAATTAATTTAGTTCACATCAGACACTGGCCATGACAATATATATTTATATGGATATACAATATAATGTTTTGTCAGTTGCCCTGTTTGAAGAGTGATGCTAAACTCATCTGCTGTCTTTGCTTAAGAAACAAACATCCTTCATTAATGAATGATAATTGTTTTTAGTTATTTTTGGTTGGAAAGTAAGTCATAGTAAGTGCTGTATGCATCAGATCTGAGTGCCACAAAATTACTAAATCATCAAGCTCATACAGAGAAGTGATAACGGTAAGATGGACTTGATGCATTAAAGTGTCCATAGTGTAGTTCATACAGTCCCCATGACAGTGCAGATAACATCTTCAGAGGAAAGCAAAATGCTAGGCTACACATCCTTACAAGCTAGTTTTGTTTTTTATATTCTTTGTATTCTGCTTTGTATACTCTTAATCATCATCAGTGGGTCTGTTTTTCGTCACTAAATATACTGTATCATTTCTGACATTCACTTATCTCACAATGCACAGTCATGAACAGGACATTAAATGAGCCAGAGTCTTGTAAGGGTCCCATTTTGAAAACCCGTACCCACAAAGCTTTGTGTCATCACCTGGAGCTACTTCTAAATTATCTGTTCCTTTAGTGAGGAAGTGCCTAGCTAACACTTTTTGGCACTATTTACAAGCAGCAAAGCACCTGATAACATTGTTCTCACTGCCTGTAACCACTGAATTTCTCCTGTATGTCAGATTTGGCCTTCAATGATGTAAGCTATTGTCCACAGTTTTGTACTCACCACTGCCTGTTTTGGCTTTTAAATGCAGTAAAATAAGTTAAGCTAGTTAATTTGGCAATAAATCATTTCAAAGAAAAATGACTTATGGGCCTTTTTAATGATTATTCATATTATCTATTATTTAACCAGCCCCTGGCTCCCTGTCATTTTGCAATGTGGCCCCCACACAAAGCAAGTTGAGTATCTGTGGTCTAGATGGTTTATGATGCTAAGAACAGAAAAAATATTGTTGAAGAAACCCCACAAAAGTTCTTGAATGTTTCACTAATTTCTTTTTAGTGTATGTGAAACCTTACAAAATTTTCTGCCTTGGCTGAGCAGGCACAAATCTCATCAACAGGCAACAGCAAGAGGATAATTCAGTGAATTTAGAGGCTTTTTTTTTGGAAGAAGCCACTGCGCTTGGTGTGAAAACAACAGTGCTGTGACGCAGACACTTCAAAAACAAAGCCTTCCTCCTGGTCCCATTTGAAACTAGCATCGTCTGCAGAGTTATTTGGGATGAGGCACTCCACTGTGAGCTCCTATTTTACATTTATCATGGCCCTAATGCAATCACACACACACTGAGTTGTTAGAGAGGAGGAGGATGAGACAGCCCATCAGATGAACACACAGCTAGGGATGAATCTGTGCAGCTCTCTAAATGGAAGAAACAAATCTACTAGTGACACTGGATTGTAGCTGACAGCTCCTTACGAACACCAGGCTTATGAGTTGATTTATGAGAGTACATAAGAGGACAGTAGCAATATTAAAATGATGATACAGCAATTCATAGTATCTATCTCGATGATTCATCTGTCTCATCCTCAGCTCTGTCGCTTGATTCATTTTCATTCAATTTTCCACAAAAATCACACAGGGTATTTCCGGTCTGTCAGCAAACAAATTACGTTACTCCACAAAACCTCTGGGTCAAAGATAGTCTTTTAAAAATCAAAACAAACAGATACAGAAGTTTGAATGAAGACAAGAAACATGTTTGACCTGATGGTTGTCTTCTCAGCTTGACAGCAAAACAGAGCTCACATCATTATCTGAACTTATCCGCTTCTCAAAAATTGCCTTCTGCCTGTGAAATTAATGAAAGACATTTGTACAGTGACAGGTGGCACCAAATACAACTGTAATCTCTCTACAACTGAGTCGTGAAGTGGCAGAGGACATAAGGAAAACAAATGGAGGGACAGCAAGGCTTGTCATTAGACTTGGCAAAAACTCAAGGACGCAGGGATTTGCTTTACCACTAAAAACAGGAGTTGGTCTCCTGAGTACTTTTTTTATTATACTTTTCATTTAGGAATGGGCATTTGAAGGTGACTAAGAAGGGAGCATCATTAGTAAAGTGTATTTTAATATGGCTTGATAAATATGGAGAAAACCTAACTGCTACCTCTCTGCTAAATCACACTGCTTACCCATAGTGTTCAAGGGGAGGGTTTTATGTGAAAACTTATTATGAGTCAAGATCACAAAGTGAGACTGCTGAAGATGATCTATTATTGTCAGATAGACAGATTAAACCGGACTCCATTTTTCATATTTTTAACAAACTTGTTTTCAAACCTTAAAACTGCAGGGGTATATTACGCAACTCTGCAATCAACGATGCAAGCTTAGTTTGAGTTCCAGCCAAAATCTCAACTGTCAGACAACCAGACTCCTGAATTCTGGTTGGTGCATGGAAGTAAGTGACATCACCATTTTCCAGGCTTGCCCACAAGTTAGACCACTAACAAAACAGCAAAGACAGAAATCGGTCATGTGAAATAACTAATTATAACTTATAGCATATGTGTCAAACTCAAGGGTCGTGGGCCGAATCCGGCCCGCCGGATCATTTTATGTGGCCCGCGAAAGCTTAAAATGTGTCTTAAAATAAAAGTCTATACT